GAACTTTTATGCAGAATTATCTTGGAGGAAATCTTGTATTTGTTACTCATCTCCAATTTTTTTTCTGTTGTGTTTTGCTTTTCATGGTGCTCACATAAGTGATCAACTGGCAGTGAATGTTATGTTTATATTATCTCATATTTTGCATTGCTAACTGGGTCCCTTGATACCATTTAAGGTGCATCCCTAATCAGTTCTCGCATTTCACACTTCCCTTGCAATCTCTGGATTTTATGAAGAGTAGACATGCCATGCCCCAGTTCTGGACGTCAAAGTGGTTGTGACTTCAGGAAGTCCCAATAGTCAGAGCCACAGTCTGAGTCAAGCCGTGTGATTGCTCCCCTGAGATGCAGTTAGCAAGCCTCTCTGACAGAGGCCAGAGGCAAGGAACAGTCAAAGACTAGAAAAGTCAAGTCTGTTTGCACACTCTCCTGTGCTTAACACCCATTATGGTGCAATTAAGAATGGTCAGAAGCACTATTATATTTGGAAACCCCAAATAACAGCCTAACTTGAGGGGAAATAGGAAAATCAGTTCAAAGCAAGGAAAAGTAGTTCTTAAATATTTTTTTTGTTTGTTTTAAATGGGATTTTTGCTTAAGCTACTTCTCATTTAACTTTGTAAATGCTAATTAGCTAACAGTGAAAGAAATTGTAGGACTGTTAGGTAAACTGTGTTTCATTTCTAAGATCTTATGGACACTTAGGGTTTGTCTCACGCCTTTGCACTTCACAGGACCCTACTTTCTATTTTTCCTGGTCCAGCTTCTGGGTAATATTTCTGGCTCCACAAGACTACAGTGCAGATAAGAGCTCATCTAAGTTCATTCTAAATTAGATGGTTAGGAAGACAATGTAGTTCCTGGCACTGAGTAATAGTAGGGGCTCTGCAGGGGGCTTGCTTGGATGGACTGTGGTTTGAATCAGTTAACTTTAACACTATGGCTATAGTAATGCCCTAGAGGTCTTACCAATGAATACCTTGGGGGCAATAAATTGCAACAGGCTTAAACATAATTATAGAGAGACTTCTTAAGCTTTGGCTAGTTCGGTTTTAATTGAAAGAAATTATTTTTCCCTTGAAAGACTAAAAAGAAAAGCCTTTAGAACATGATATTTATTTCAACAAATTGTTGTAAAGAATCTCTTATTTAAAAAGAAACAAAAAACTGTTCACTTTTTATTATCATCACCATCATTATTTTTATTATAATCAAATATTGAATTATAATGCATGGACAGTGGTCCCAGTTTTCCCCAAATAATTGGGCTCTTTTCTGAACCTCTTTTCAAGCTTTGAATAGGTAAATAGAAATGAATAAATATCAGATTTGGGTGTAGAAATCTTACTCTTATGGACTGAATGTTTGTGTCCCTCCACCAACCCCGCAAATTCATATGTTGAAGTCCTAACCCCCAATGCAATGGTAGTAGGAGGTATTATCAGGGGTTTTGGGGAGGTGATTTGGTTGAGATGAAGTCATGAGGGTGGAGCCCCTGTGATGGGATTAGTGTCCTTATAACAGGAGGAAGAGACATTAGATCTTCCTGTCTCCACCATGTGAAGATACAGCAAGATGGTCGACTTCTGCAAGCCAGGAAGAAGACCTTTGCCAAGAGTTTAATCTGTGGGCACCTTGATCTTGGACTTCCTAGCCTCCAGAACTGTGAAAAATAAATGTCTTTGTTTAACCCACCCAGTCTATGGTATTTTTTTGTTATAGCAGCCTGAGCTGACTAATACTCTTAGCTTATGGCAAAATTTCTCCCAGCCACAAGGACCAATATGTAGCAATGGTGAAAGCATGCAAAGAAGTGCCTGGGCCGATAGGGGAAGAGGAATCATGGTGAAGGCACAAGTAGATTTTAGGAAATCATCCCCCAAATAGCCCATACCACTTAGGCTTTTTTTTTTTTTTTTTTTTTTTTTTGATGAGAACTAGTCAGATGGTTCCACCTAAATGCAAGGGGGCTGGGAAATGGAGTTTCTGGCAGCATAGGCACTTTCCAGTAACAACTCTACACTATGGAGAGGAGCACATGTCTTTGGCGGACAGCTGATGGTCTGCGACACCACATTTTGTATGTTACTTTAAGCTTAGAAGATGCTTTTTACAGCTATTTACTCTTTGAATTTTAAGGCCACTTTAGTTACAAGTAAAGTTTTTTAATGCCTGCACATTCGATCAGTTCAGTTGACTGGCCAATTAACTGAGTGAAGTCAATCCACTTCGTTGTCTGACTGAATTTCCAATTGTTTGGCTGAATGGAATGGTTACTTTGGCATAAAGTTTGTGCAGTAGTCCTATATAGATATAATCACACTGCAGCTGGTGTAAAATTTGTCTTTGTCACTACATTTATTTTTCTAGACACTGTCACCTTCCCTAATTTCCTTTCCCAAGTTCTTTTTAGAATGCTCCATTGTCCTAGCTTATTCAGAAGAGTGCTTCTTTCAGAGCTTAGCTGAGAGTATACAGACCAAGTTTGTCTCAGTATTTTCAACACAATCTAGTTTATATGTTTTATTTTTGCTGTCAATACCCAATGGGGTCAATCCTACAGACCTCTTGTTTTCAAAAAAAAAAAAGTCTCTTGTAGTACTGTGTTGATGGTCAGACTATTAGTTATATTGAAAAGATATCTTAAAAACCAGAGCACGTTACTGCAGATTTTTAAGGGAACTTTTTAATTTTATCTCTACTTTACTTCTTAGGCTTTCAATCTGTATTTTTCTATCTTTGATTTTAGGGTGTTATCTCAGGCTTACATTAATGCCTCAGAATATGATTTTATAAAGCCAGCCTCAACGTGGCAAAAGTCTCTACAGTTGGAGAAATTTGGAGTCAAACACTTAACATCGATTATACACTTATATTTAAAATGCAGGAATTCAATAAAATGATCCATTGACATTGTGAGTGCCTTTTCTAAGCCCTATGAAGGCTGCACATAGAAATGAGTGATTGCCTCCAAGGAACTTACACTCTGGGACTTAATCACAGCACCTGGTACAGAAGAATTTGGTGGAGAGGACGGGGCATGCGGGAAAAAGTGTTAACTAGTAACCAAAGATAGCCCACGATAAAAGCCTAATGAGTATTGTGAGAGATCAGTTCTCTGGATGATCAGCAGAGAGAGGGAATCATCATGGTCTAGAGCAACTGGGAAGAGAACACAGCGTGAGCCTTTAGGATGGATGTAAAGGGAGGATGTTGTTCAGATAAACTGAGAAGTGAGGCAGCCGTCTCAAAAAGTGATACGTGTAAACGAAATTGCAGCCCCTGGAATCCATACAATGTTTTTAAGTAACAGCGAATAGATTTTTCTACAGGGAACTGAGGGTTAGTGAATGAAAATAGCAGCTTAAATGTTGGAAAGATAGGTTGCTATCAGATTGTGGAGAGCTCTAAATGTCAGTTTGATAAGTGTGGCCTTTATTTTATATTCAGTTGGGAACCATTGGAGATTTGGGGATGATCTATTTATTGACAGCAACCTGGAGCCTAAATTTGTCCCTAGCTTCAGATTTATCTCCCAAGTCCGGATTTCGAAAGTTATTACAATTTAAAGCACAGTGATGTTGGTCACTCCCTGGACTCCACCTCCTGTTTCACCTCCAACACACAGAGTGAGGAAGAAATAAGCTGCCACAGGGACATTGCTTTCTCTACTTTATCAAGACAGAGTGATGTACATTCATTCACTTTTTCTTTTGAGGCATCTGTCTAAGAAGAAGCTGTGTCCTATTACCAAATTGAGTCTGAGAGGTGTGAGGAGTATACCTGTATCTCTCCTTTGAACTTTGGAGGAGATTGTTTACTGTTAACATAAAAATAAGACTCCTCACAAGTCGTTAGCATTTAAGCAGAATGACCTACACGTTGTGAGGTACTCTGCCTCTTGGACAAATACAGAAAGAATTGATTGTGGCATAGCCCTTGACTACAGAGCATCAATGAATAACCACCTGCATAGCTTTTTATACTTCTGAGTTTTGTATGTCATGGTTTGCAGTTGCGACCATGTGGCAAATGCAACAAGTTGACCATACTAGTACCGAGTTTATCTACACCATCTGCTGTCGTATTGACATCTGCTTCCTTCAACATAGCACCCTCCTTTTTCTTAGATATGTTCTGTTATTTCTTCTTTTCCTTCTTTATTTCAAGTCATATTCACTGATATCTGTACCATTTCATGATATCAAGAAAGGAGGCTTTCAGTGAGGGAGTAGAGGAAGACAGGGACAGACAAGTGGTCAAAGGGCTCAGTAGGAAAAAAGTCATAATTTCTGGGCCCTGAAAACCATGTAAAAAGGTGAGAAAGTATCTGGAGGAAGCATGAGAGAGAAGTGAGGGTTTAATTTGGGATTAACAAAAGCACCAGAAATAGCTGAGAGGAGACAGGAGAATAAGGACCATGGGTGTACGGGGTGATGGCAGAGCATCTCACAGAGATTAAGGTGGAATTAATCTGTTCATTGGAAAGATACTTCAAATTTTTGACAACACATTCCAACAGCAGTAACTCCAAGTAGGCTTCTGAAATCAGGGATCAACAGGTGAAGGCTTCCTTTAACTTTATTTTTAAAATACAGTCAAGATTAACTTGTACAAGCCACTTTTTTTTTTTTTTTTTGGTGTTTTAGTTTATTTCCAATACACCGTTCCACTTCATTTTTTCACTTATCCTCACAAGGTAGCTGTGAGTTAGCTTAGCATCATCAGGCAAATCTCCTGGCTCCCAACTCTTAGCTAATTCTGTTAGAAAATACTGACTTTAATTGTGTATAGAAGGTGAAAATTTTTTCTATTAAACAGTCACCAGATTTTTAGAACGAAAGCTAAATTTCAGGAAGCGCTTGGAATTCCGAAGAATAGAAAGGTATAGAAAAGAGCAAGTGTGTATTCAGTCTGAATCAACAGAATTCACCTGGGCATTATTTGAGTTTTTGGCCCCTGAAGCCGTGGGTCAATGGTACAAAAATAGACACTCACCTCTGACAAAGAAAAGCATGGATGCTGGCATGGGAGGACATAGCTCCTTTTCTTTCAATCCCAGATCAAATTTAAACCTGCGATTTTGGAGCTTACTCATCAGAGGAGAAATATCATGAGCTATTTGCTCTCTCTGCTGTAACACAGCTCTGGCAAGCCTGGAAGTTATGTTGAGATCGTCAAATCTATAGTCAAGGACCATCTTTGTGAATCATGAAACCATATGCCACTGGTTGTCTGAATCGAAGGAAAAAAAAAAACAAAAAACCCAACAACAAAAACAAAAAACCCAGCTCTACACCAAGGAAATCAGTAATGTGATCAAACAGTGCCAGGGCCCTTTGACCATCTTACACCTTCTCAAGCTATACATTAAAAAAAAAAAAAAAAAATCTTTGCTACTGCCTGAACCATGTAAAATACCAGAACTCCTGTAGTGTTAACAAGGAATAAAGATCTTGCACCAGATGGTGCCTCTTGTCTCCATCTATCTCTAGCCCAAACAATCTGCCAGAGTTTTGAAGAAAAATGCAATGTGATCATGTTGCAAAGTATATGAAGAAACAGTATGAAAAGTAATCTGGCTCAAGCAATGGAACCCAGAAGGAAGGGGATTATTATGACTCTTTGAGCCTAGGAATCAGGGTACTGCTAGCTCTGCATTTTAGTCCATAATACAAATGGTATGCCCAGGCACAGCTGGAGGGTGAGCATCGCACCTGAGATATCTCTGTATCTCTGCAACATATTGATATTAGTCAATATGGTTGAAATTTCAGGAATTCATCTAGATATTTTGTTTCTATAAAACAGAATAAACTGTTTGATGACTTTTAAAAAACTAACAAGCTAGGAAGGGAGAGTTCACAGGAGAACTTATTATTTAATGTTTATTTCTGTATTTGCCCTGCAGTTTTGAATTTGGCCATCTTGGTGATGAGATCTTGGGTACAGTTTGTGCATCTCCTTTGCAGAACATTCTTAAAAATGTTTAAAATAAGCTTGGATAGTTTTTTGGGTTTTTTTGGTTATTTTTCTGCTTCTCCATATGACTTTTGTGGCCACAATATTTTCAGGTATCTTCCTGCCCTCTCGTACTTTGATCGTGGTATTGTTACCTCTTTGCCATAAGATCTTTGATCTTTTATCATCTTTAGATTTTATCTAACACCTATAGAATTCTAAACTGTTTTATGATCAGAGATTATTTAATGGGAAAGAAAATAGCTTTTCAGGTCTTTTCTAGATACAACTCATTTGAACACATAACTTTTTTTTTTTAATAAGTTTATTTATTTTATTTATTTATTTTTGGCTGCGTTGAGTCTTCGTTGCTGCACGTGAGTTTTCTCTAGTTGCGGTGAGTGGGGACTGCTCTTCCTTGCGGTTCACCGTTTTCTCACTGCAGTGTCTTCTCTTGTTGCGGAGCATGGGCTCTAGGCACGCAGGCTTCAGTAGTTATGGCATGCGGGCTCTGGAGTGCAGGCTCAGTAGTTGTGGCACACGGGCTTAGTTGCTGCGCAGCATGTGGCATCTTCCCAGTCCAGGGCTCGAACCTGTGTCCCCTGAATTGGCAGGCGGATTCTTAACCACTACGCCACCAGGGAAGCCCTGAACAGATAACTTAGTTTTATATTTACTTTTGGTGCTTGGACTGGAAGTATACAAATGGCAAGCCTAGAAAATGATGGTGATTTGATAGAAGGTAGCTCATCGTTGCTACTCAGAGTGTGGTCTAAAGACTGATTTAGATGAGCAAACTGGTAAAGGTCTATGATGAGACATACAGAAATTGAGAGTCATCATTTAGAAACTTCCATAGCAGTTTGACATAGCTGTGACATCCAAGCCTGTGATCACTTTTCCAGAAATTCATTTTATTTTAGCTTACCAAAATTTCAGTCCATTATGGACTGGAGGAAATAAGAACTGTGTTCACTACCACAGATAGTTTAAGAAGCACCACTTTTTTATTTATTTATTTTTTAAATTGAAGTATAGTCGATTTACAATGTTGTGTAAGTTTCTGGTGTACAGCAAAGTGATTCAGTATCTATCTATCTATTCTTTCTCATATTCTTTTCCATTATGGTTTATTACAGGATATTGAATATAGTTCCCTGTGCTATACAGTAGGTCCTAGTTGTGTATCTATTTTATATATAGTAGTTTGTATCTGCTAATCCCAAACTCCTAATATATCCCTCCCCCACCCCCTTTTCCCCTTTGGTAACCATAGTTTGTTTTCTATGTCTGTGGGAAGCACCACTTTAGAGTCTGTAATTCCATCATTTTATGTAAGATGGATCAAAATAGAGACAATGGATCCACCCACGACAAGGAGGTTAGAGCAGTCATCTAGTTATGTGTTAACCATTACTCAGGAGCTTTAATGGTAGGTGTGGAAGGAAAGGAATACATCCATCTTGGAAATACTATCCAGGAGAAGGAACAGGATGAAGTCCAGAATTGGACCGGCCGTGTGACAAGGAGGCACATGCTGCCCCAATATTAGCCTGGATCGTGTTGCTCCCAATAGATATGGAAAAGCTTCATTGACAGTAGAGCCTTGAAAACACCAGGAATTCTGACTTTTTAGTTTTAAGTTAGTGATGGCAAAACATCTATTTAGAAATTTGTAGTGAACCATGAAAGACTGTGGACCACAGCTGAAGAGTTCAATGTTAGAAACTTAGAACAGATGGGAAATTCTTCCTGATAGTTTTACTGAGAAAGAGAGGTTCCCCGCTTCACATTTTCTGATGTTTGAAATAACATTATTTGCAACTTTCCTTCTTTTTTCTTACAAGGTAGATGCAATACATGGGAGTGGATGAAGGACACATGCTCAGACCACTCCTGCCTTTGGAGGACGTGTTGGCATATTCCAAGCACTGAAAAATGCCATAGCTGATAGCCCATAATAAAAGTAGCAAAGCCTGCTTAATGATGATGTATCTCGATGTTCTAAGGAAAATAATTTTTGGTATCTCAGATTTGAATTTTGTCAAAGAAATAACATTAGAAATAAGTAATGGTTAACTCTCTCCAGGTTATTTCTATAAAACCTGTTCTTTTTTTCTTAACCTTTTTTTTTTTTTTTTTTTTGCACTATGTGGGCCTCTCACTGTTGTGGCCTCTCCTGTTGTGGAGCACAGGCTCTGGACGCACAGGCTCAGCGGCCATGGCTCACGGACCCAGCCGCTCCGCGGCATGTGGGATCTTCCCGGACCGGGGCACGAACCCGTGTCCCCTGCATCGGCAGGCGGACTCTCAACCACTGCGCCACCAGGGAAGCCCTTAACCTTTGAATAGAGTTGAAATAATGTTATTAGTGCTAACAACAGTATTACTATGATTTCTGATTTCTAATTGTACTATTATTAATGATGTTAGTTTATTTAAAACTTTTTGTAAGTTTATAGGGTTTTTATAGACTGTAATAATGATCCATATGGACAACCATTTATATTGTTTCTTCTGTGGAAATTCTATTTCAGAGTTGTGGCTAGAGGAGTGAGTGGTACTTCCTCTGATTCACAGCACACACACACACACACACACACACACACACACACACACATAACTACCAGATAGTCTCTTTTGACTTTTTGGTGCTGGTAGTGAAGGAAATGTTGGGAGTCATTTAAAGATTCATCCCTCTAGGTCTAGGAAATATAGGAGTTCACCCAAAATGTAATGTGGCTTGTTTGTTTTTAAGATATATATTATAGCTGTATTGGCTTCACATTTGGAAAGAAGTTCATGTCATTTTATGTTCTTTTATCAAATACCTAACCCACTCCCATTTCAGCTCTGCTACCCAAGGAAGAGGCACAAATCCACTTGCTGCTGGGCTCCTAGGGGAATGAAGAGTAGAAAGATATCTCTCCCTAAGCTTTGGGAGTCTTGCTGAGTGTGAACCTGACACTGAACAAATGGCAGAGGCCAAGACAGTGTCAGCTAAATCATCTCCCTTTCAGGTTATTAACGCATAGAAAATGTATAGGCAAAGTTATAATTTCTGTTTTTTCTGTTTTTCTTTCCTGACCATCCTTCTAAAACTCCCCATTGCCTCTCCTTTTCATGTATGTGTGTTTTCCCCTCTGTGTGGGCAACTTTGATGAGCAAGGAGGGCCTGCTTACACATTGCACATCATTCGGGCTGTCGTCTTGTGTGCCGGGTATTTCAATGCGATTGCATCTCTATTCATCTCCTGACAGAAGTGGCAATGGTGCAGACAGGGGTATTTGTTATTGAAACAAACAAAGCCTGTGGTGTTAGAGATTTGTATGCAAAACCTTCACAACAAAACTAAGTAGCTATTTACTTTAAATATGCCAATTAACTGTTACTAATGTACAGTGCACTTCTAGGTTAAGGATGATTGATAGTAACACGCAGTGAAATGTTCTTCAACTACAGTCAGGAAATGTAAATGTACAAAATGGAAAGAACCAGCGGGCTGACAGCACTAGTTACATGTTTCAAAACAACACTTTCAAATTGTTCCCTTATTGTTCTTTCATCCTTTCTCGGTTCTGCACTTCCAGAGCCTGGTAGCCAACAGTGTACTAAGAAAGTTTCGGAAAAAAAAATGTTTTAGCATGAAGTAAACATCACGGGCCTAATCTCATTTGTTTTACTCAGGCAGAACTCTTAGGAACCACAGTGGGAGTTTTGCTTGACTGAAGAGAATAGTCTTGTCTCTTTTAAATGTCTGACATTGAATCTGTTGCTATTACCAAACTAATTAAAAGGAGAGATGACTTCTCCTTCAGTTGCTATGTCCTGTCTCAGCAGACAGTCACTTCTTCATTTGCTCTAGATAGGCACCACCCAAAAGTAATACAATGAAAGGCATAAATGCTATAGCCACATATATATTTTTAAATTTTCGAGGGGCCAAATTTTAAAAAGTAAAAAGAAACAGGTGACATTAATTTTAATAACATTTTATTGAATGCAATCTATGTAGATTATCATTTTAACATGAAATCGATATAAAATAAGGTATTTTGCATTTTTTTTCCTTCACACTAAGTCTTTGAAATTTGGTATATTTTATGCTTATTCAGAAGAATTGGCTTATGCCATTTCAGAAGAACCACATCTCAAGTTTCTGGTAGCTTTCCATGGTCAGTGTTTACTACATGGAACAGCACAGCTCTAAATGTCACCATTTGGAGATCAGTGTAGTG